TCTGTATTATACTGAAAACTGTAAGATCTGCAACAGTTACCAGAACCACATGTCATCCACGTCCTTAAGCAAAACTCATTATCAGAAAAAAATATATGTAACATCTATATTTCTACACATGACCGAAATGACAGAAACCAGTTAAGAACCAAAAAAGATATGTAGTAAGTCAATCACTGTATCAAGGCACGTCCTTACCTTAGTTAAAAATATGCATGGTTAAAGAAATACTGATATTCTCTGTTATAGAGGAGTTTAGGTTAAGATATAAACATATTACAAAGCAAATATGACAGTCATGAGAAGAAAGTAAATCCTGAAAAAATAGAAAGATATGACAGACAAAGAATTAAAAATACTCAAGAATATGTTGGACATGAAACAAAATTATATAAATTCAGAATAGGTTAAAATAAATAGACACTTACAAGACATGCTTAAGAAATGATGATGAAAGAGGATAAAGGGAAACTTTGAAATTGGTGAGGGAACAAAGAATCACAGGATAGGCGGAGGAGAGGGATGAGTTCCTGTTGCAAAAGTATTCAACAAAAATAAAAATTGAAAAGGGATTTACTCCCTGCCAGTATAAAAAGTCCAGTAAAACCTCAATATATTATGGACATTGAAGTGCACGTGTAAATGTAAATGTTGTATTTTTTTCAATGAAAGTAGTAAACAAACTGTAATTTTCATTTGATTTATTTAAATCAATATCAAAGTCATAATTTTATTACTAGTTACAGCCGACTAATAATATAGATTTTGACCTTTCACTCTGCTAAATAAATGCTGTTTGTTAGATCTTTGTTTTGTTTTCTTGCACTTAATATTAGAGTCAGTGAAAAATATTGTGAGTATTTATCTTTACAGTTTTTGGATTCTTGAGTAGGTTAGGATTTTGAGGATTCCTAACATTAATCACATATGATTTGTATAATTTTTCCTCCCAAACTATTTATTGATGGATAAGATGTTCTTTTTTAGAAGCCGGTGCTGTATCAATCACGTGAATCCCATTTGTTTACGGAACTTACTCGTCAATAAGAAACTCTAGTGAAATCAGGAGTTCAAAGCACTTATCTCACCGAATCTTTAATTCACTTTTATGTTTAATACAAAAAGAAGCCATGGGGAAAAATATAAGATGTTATTATAATTTCTGTGATTAGCAAAAATTCCATGTTTTAATAATTTTTTTGATGATAACATAATTTCGCATATCTTTGGTGTATTACTTTTATATTGAAGACATTTATCGAGGATCTGTCAAGTAAAACGTGCATCATGTAATAAGATATAATTCATTTCTTACACAAGCAGTATCAGTTGTATATTGGTTTGAAATAGAAAACACAAGAAAGTTGCCAGTTGTTTCACTAGTGACAAAGCCTTGTCAGTCACCTGTACCTCCATATGTGGCCATTTAGCCAGGTTAGGTATCACCTATTAGACGGGGCTATATGGAGTTTGTAATCTATGACCTACCACTAATGTAACCTGAAAACTATTATTGTCAGTGCTTTAGCAGAATAAAATTAGACTACCTGCTCTGACTATGGTCTGATAGACTTTGGAGATGGGAATGGCCTTAGCCTGCATTTTGGAATAAACAGGTCTTCCTCTGCCTAAACACCTAATAGCAGATGAAGAGACAGACTTTGATAACTGCCACACCAGCTAGTCTGAACAGTTTGCTTCAGATCAACTTTGACCACAGATATGAAGTGCACAATGATCTCTCTGTCTATGTTACCAAAGAAGTGATGGTTAACTCAGCACATTCTACACTACAAGGAAAACATATACTTTGGCAAGTGCAAACTGTTTTTATTCTCTCCAGTGGAGAATGGCTAAGAATGAGCAAAGAAGATTGACTATGCTTTGCCTTTGGTGCAGTCTCACAGGTTATGACTTGAACCACAGTAGATCTTCGTTTCAGCGTAAGCATCTTAAGTATGAACATGTTGCATTAATTGTTTTATAGATGAACTTTAGCTCTCAGAAATAGCATATTGTGACGTCTAAGTGAAGTCCAAGATCAGTAAAGATCGTAAAATGTGGATTTAATGACATTACTATTCCTTTGATTGTTCAAGTATTATTTTTCAGAACAGTATAAAGTCAGTCTGTATTCCCTGGCAAAGCAGTAACAGAAACTATGCGTGAAACTGTGTTTTTTGTTGTTGTTGTTGTTTTGCCTACACAACAAGCTGCACTTGTTTAAAGTTTAATGCAAATACGAGTTATTTTTGATATTCTGAATCAGGACGTGTAATTAAGGTAAAACTTCTTTCCAATTACCAGATGGAATAAATACTTATAATTACTGAAGAAAAACTAACTGAAACTAGCTGCATAGTTAGAATTGTTTTGGCTGCATCCTGTCCATAAACAAATGTATGGTTGCCAGTACATCCGTGGACTGTAGTATAATATTGCTTCGATATTCTCCTTGTAAAACAGCACAGAAAACTTAGTATGTTGCTGGATGAGTAGGGTGATGCGTTTGTTGTACGTGTATAAAACAAACATAGCTTATCATCACATAACCATTGTGTTTGACTACTCGTAGGCAGAATGTGATGACTTTGTTTACTTTGGGCGTTTGAGAAGAATTGTACAAGTTGTGTGTCATTCCATCTGACTTACATGATGTACTAGCAACATTCGAGCAGCTGATGGAACTCGCATCTTTAAATTAGAAAACAAAAATTATATGTTGTTTTTAAATATAATTTTGTTTCACATCGTTAATTTTTTTTTGGTTTGGCTAGAAATATATGTGATTTATGTTCGTGTTTACAAACGTTTTTGTTCAACATTTATATATTTTGAAGGTATTTTTATTTATAAGTGTTCCAAGTTGAAATTGTTTTAGTCTCTCAATTCATAAAAATCTTATTTCTTTTAATTCTTAGAAAATTTATGTCCTTATCGATTAAGTCAATGACAGAATATCCACGCCCTCATATAATTACAAACCTTTTTCTTTTCCTTCTTTATGTAGCCAAGCGTTCACTTAACAGCCAGATACTTTAAACTTAAAGATGCTAAAAAGAACTGACATTTAAACAGAACAGTCTTGGGCGTTACCTTGAACAGGTTTAGATTGAAAGGCGAGTCTTTCCTGGCTATCGTATAATAACGTGATTGAAAAGGGTTTTTTCAATAGTGATATTGTCGACAAATTGACTCTGATTAATCATTAGAACATCTAATATACACTCGTGCATGATTCATTTTCAACGTTCTTTAAAACTTCCCTGGTAATGTGCTTTAACCAAATACAACGCAGAATTCTAACGTATAGATGTTTAAGTCTTTTAATAGGTTAGAAAAAATGAATCAATAACCCCCGGCTAAAGCATGAAAGAACTGTTGGTTTTGTGGAACTTTTATTACCATTATTACATTTTCACCATCATAAGCTGAAAAGCATTTGCTTTTTTCTTCCCCTGAACGGTTAAATACTGTTTGTGATATATTTTTCTATTATCATAGATGTTCTAAGAGGGGGCATTGAACCTGCTCACAATAATTCTTTTCAAATACAAAATGTATCCATTTTTCTATCTCACGGTAAAATCATTCATTCTTTAATTAAACATGCTTTTCCTAATTAGTGAGTTATTTGATCGTACGTTAAATCTGAGTTTTGTTGTGTTTTTATTTATATAATCGGAAATCTATCAGACTTTATTGAACTTTCAAGCAAACATGACGATATTACTTAGACCATTCACCTTTCAATTTATCTTCTGTGTGAACTAATACTGAAATTGAACTTTACATCAGTAGCAACCTCCTGTGAACATAGTGACACTAGAATGATAACTCTAACGAAACATAAATCAGTATATGTTTACTTTTCACGGAAAGTTATGTTAAAAGCATATTCGCATAGAAATCATGTATCATGTTGATAATTATTATTATTATTTTGCTTGAGTAATGTTATCTTTCATATTACATATTTCATAGGTATCCTTCTTAATACGACTAATATTACTTGGAAAATTACCATTTCCTCAAATCGTTGGAGGTTCTACACCTTCAGTGTTTTTTGTTTTGTTTTATTCTCTTGAACTCAGACATCAAAATGTTTTTATAAATCCTTTAGACACAGTAAAGGAAATGCAAGTGACAGTGTTGTAAAGAGACGGAATTGAAGGTTATTGGATTCAAAGTCTGAAAGACAGTACGCAATAATGCGATGGTAAAAAAAAAACATAAAAAGTGCAACACGTACACGAAGCTATAAAGCGTGATATGAAAATTACGTAATAATTAGGTTTGTCTTTATCAGTTACTCTTGACTAGTTTTTAATTGATTCAAGTAGATATAGGAAACATGATTATATGTTTTTTTAGAAATGTTAAAAAACAATCATTTAAACTATGGTACGTTACTGTTAACGTAATGACGGTTGTTGATTTATTGTACAGAATCCCGTAATGAAGTCACTCTTGGAAAATAATCAAGTAAAAAGTGTAAACATATACAGAAACGTAATACCAGGATAAACATAAAACTATGGATAATTTCTCTTAAGTGTATTGTTTATTGACGTTAATAGTTCTGAAATATCATCTGCTTTGCTAAACGTCATCAATGTATTACTTGGGATTACGGCCAAAATTCCGTTAACGGTAGATATACCCAACTGATGAAACCCTTTCTAAGTAAGAACACAAGAACAATATATTTGATAAGATATAATGGTTACCAAGCTGATTTTTAGTTTCATTCCTAAATAGTTAGATTTTAAATACCTGTAATATTATTAAATATTATATCCATTACTGTCTTAATCTGCATAATATAAAGATAATTTGCATCACATGATCTAAAAATGAGCATAAGGATTATACTATTTTAAAACTTTGTTGTTGTGGGGTTAAAGCTTCATAATTTTTATTGTTCTTAGTCCATTTTGTATTTTATTTTTAATGTAGAATTACAGATAATAAATTATATTTTTTCTTTTATTCTTCAGCGAAAAACGAGACCCAGGAGCAACCCTCTACACGAGTTCCGAAGACTCTTAATCCTCCTAAGAAGATTGATGCACTAGAGGGAGAAAATATCACTTTTGCATGCCAGGTTGATCATCTAGGTGAGATATTAATTATCTAGAAACGAGGTTTTCGATGCATATGGATCTAGGGTATTACAGAATGGATTTTAATATACAATATGGATTTAGGGTATTACAGAATGAATTTTAGTATACAATATGGATTTAGGGTATTACAGAATGGATTTTAGTATACAATATGGATTTAGGGTATTACAGAATGGATTTTAATATACAATATGGATTTAGGGTATTACAGAATGGATTTTAACATGCAATATGGATTTAGGGTATTACAGAATGGATTTTAGTATACAATATGGATTTAGGGTATTACAGAATGGATTTTAATATACAATATGGATTTAGGGTATTACAGGATGGATTTTAACATGCAGTTTGGATTTAGCATATTACAGAATGGATTTTAACATGCAATATGGATTTAGCATATTACAGAATGAATTTTAACATTCAATATGGATATAGCATATTACAGAATGGATTTTAACATGCAATATGGATTTAGCATATTACAGAATGGATTTTAACATGCAATATGGATTTAGCATATTACAGAATGGATTTTAACATACAAAAGGGAAAGATCACGAACGTTTTCCAATTACTACTTTCTGTTTTTAACTATTAAACATATAATCAGCAACAAAATCTAGAAAAAAGTATTGATACGTGTTGAAATATGATAATAGCCAAAACTTACTAATTACTCCACTCACTGAACATGGCGCTATTATGATTCTTTATATTATTCGTGGCGTATTTTATCCGAATTAATTATATCTCACGCCATTATAACATTTAACACATATTCTAGAATAAATTTCCACACACATTATTTTTGAAAGCTGTAGTTTTCTTAGTGTTTGTTTGTTTTGAATTTCGCGCAAAGCTGCACGAGAGCTATCTGCGCTAGCCATCCCTAATTTAGCAGTGTAAGACTAAAGAGAAGGCAACTAGTCACCACCACCCACCGCCAATTCTTGAGCTACTCTTTTACCAACGAATAGTGGGATTGACCGTCCCATTATAACGCCCCCACGGCTGAAAGGGAGAGCATGTTTGGTATGACGAGGATTCGAACCCGCGACCCTCAGATTGCGAGTCGAGTGCCCTAATCACCTGGCCATGCTGGGCCTTTTCTTAGTGCAAAACTACACAATGTGCTATTTGCACGCTGTCCACCGCGGGGAATAGAGCCCCAGAATTTAGCATTGCGAATCCATAAACGTACTGCTGACCCACGGAGAGACATTTTTGAAAGTTAACAAATTAGAGGAACTTAAAACCACAGCTTTATTCACCTTAGGAAATCATACTTACTAGCAGAAAGGACGCCCCGCGGTCGGCTGTTTGTACTAGTAATTACTAGTCGTAGTATTCATGCCTCATTGAAAAACTTTAGATGAAGTGAATATTTTCAAAAAAAAGATTTTTTTGGAAGTACTGCACGGTAAAGTGTTCGGATTGTTCTACTCTTTATTGAAAAAGAAAACAGTTTTTAAGAACTGCATTTTTAATATTACATTTACAAATTACGTCAATAAAGATATAATCAAACCCTCACGTACAGTCCTAGTAAAAGTCGAGTTCTTGTTGTGAAGAGAGTACTTTTATTTCAAATTGCGTTCTGTAATAGAGAAATGGTTGTTGCACATATCGTAGTTAGTTTTCGAATTCTCTGAATCTTGAATAGCCAAAGTGTGAAATTTTTTACGGATTTTTGTTTGTGATGGCATTCAATAGATGGCGTATAGATTATTTCGGTCACAAAGATAGATACATATATATACACGCTACGTACATTATAGTAGGATGTAGAACTTGCACAGTAAACGTAAAACATGTAGCTAAGGATTTAGTAGCATTTCGCGATGGGGACTGTCATTTCCATAATATCAAATACACGAGTGCCACTTACATGATAATGGAAACATAAATACATAATGGAAATGTTGTACACAGTTGGATACGTGACGAAGTCTAATATTGAGCGAAAATCCTCGTGGGCATTAGCATGCGGCGCACAAGGTACATTAGTGGAGATATTATTATACTGTTCTTACTGGAAACTCATATAGGACCAGTAAAGAAATATTTATTACAAATTACTGTCAACCATATTGTGATGTAATGTCACACAAACCACTGATCTGTAGACCATATTTCACTGGTATAAGGCTATATATATACTATAATAATTGACATCGTATAAGTTATTGATATAAGGAACGTTTCGCTGATGCTTTCCTTGTGTTCCATGCCCAGACACTTGATGAGTTCTGGTATTGGGTAAAAGTCTTTGTCCTTACGCTAGTGGAGAGTGACGTACAGCACACGAGATGTGAGGTCGAGATGCTAAGTATATTATTCTTACTGGAAACCTCTATAAGTCCATTAATGAAATAGTTAAAACAAATTATTGTGATCTAAAGTCACAGAATTTAGAGATCTATAGACCCCGCTTCCCTGAATAAAGTACTATCTATATATGTCATAATAATTAATACCTAATAAATTATTGACATAACAAAAGTATTTCAACTGTGATTGTATACTCTGCTAACATGATGAAACCTGGCATTTAATTGGATAAAAAGCGGCTTAGGCAATAGTGTGTGACTCACATTTGACGCTTTTTTTGTTATTATTTGTTATTATAGAGCAAGTAAACACAGATTTGTTAAAAACATTATCGTTCTTATTGTTGTAAAGCTAGACAATAAGCAATCTTTATTCAAACATAACACAAACACTATGTGTGTACTCTTATTTCATATACAATATGATCGCTTTTTGGTGGAAATTTAGAGTCAAACTATTTCTCTCTCAAAGTTTTGTACCAAATTGAATAAACATTACGTTACTTAGTTAAATTGTTAATATCAAACATACCCAGAGAGACTTGTGCTAACCACGTGAATGTTCATTCACATTGAAACATAAGAGAAACATGGTGAATTAATTATGTCATCAGTCGAGTACCGTTACTACTATTAGTGTTTTGGCCCTTACCTCAAGAAAATCTGACGAGATTGGGCCTGCTTAGCGAATTCACGAAGCACAGAAGCTGAATTATCACAATGCCTGTTTCAATAGTATGATCGCACAGAAATTCACAGATGCTGCATCGGGCATCTTTATATGGGAAAGAATGAATACTTGTTTCATTCTCTAGCTACCTGAGGTTTGTGATAGTTGAATCGGAGGCATGTCTTTAAGCCTTATATTGGTGAGCCCATACTTTCTTAGCCTCGTTTCCAGACAGATAGTCTTCTTGATTATGTTGAATACTGTTGCCTCAGCTACGTCGACAGCTTTTTTCCATTTACCTTTATGTTTGTGGATTATTATCTGATACAAGACATGCCTTGCTTACCATAGCTAAGGTAAACCGTGTTGCAGGTCTCTTTCTGGGTTCATTTTTGACTCAAATTGATGTATATTCCTTTGTTTTCCAGTACGTGCAGTACTTACAAAGTATAACTGTACAGTATTTATCTTGAAAATTCTAAATCGTGTTCTGAATGCATCTTTATGACCGAAGTATATAAATATCTTACATATGAAAGGGCTTTTACAAATCCTTCCTAAAACCAATTAGACCCCCCCCCAGTGGCACAGCGGTATGTCTGCGGACTTACAACGATAAAAACCGAGTTTCGATACCCGTGGTGGATTAGTTTTTGCTGGCATCGCAATCCCTACACTTTACTAAACAATGTCAGGTAATAGTTCTAATACATGCTGTTTCACCATAATCTTCTATCATCTTACTTATTTGAATATTCAAAATCATTTGAGCGTAATGCACTTAACCCTATATTCAAGTTAAATCCTATATTTGTCTGAAAATTTGTGTTCTCGGATATTTCTTAAGTCTGTACATAACTATGTACACCAAGTCCAATCCATGAATACTGTAATATAATAATGTGTTTATGCACACTGAAAGTCACATATTAACCACATTTTTCTCGCACTACATGATGTCACCATTCAAGTATAAACCAATAATATTAGTAATAAACAGCAAAATCAGTCCCTTTTCCCATTTGCTGGACTCACATACAATTTTCAAACGCCATCTGTTGAATCAAAACAGCTTCAACTTCAATGATATCCTGAAAATGAAAGTAATTGAAAACCAAAATCTGTAGAAATGACTAATTGTGGCATAATTCATATAAAAGTCGTATTTTAGTTGTTAGTGTATGTCTTTCACATGCAATTACATGTTCCATGCTGTGATAAAACTACTCTAAATTCACCAGTATCAGTTGCGTTCTTCTCTTTTGGTCTCAGGGTAAGAACAGTAACTGACCACTGTAATATTTGAATGTTCAGTATATATATATATATATTCAACTCTATCCCTGCCTACTATATGACCAAAAAACTCCACATCTGTACATTTTAACACAATTTATCCTGTTTTCAATTATAACGCTGCACATTTAATATGCTGAAATACTATTTTCAGGCTCTCAGTGGTAACCTAAAACATGTGGTTAAAAAGTAAATGTTAAAAACATAGATAGGAAGTTTCTTCCATTACAGTCCTTGATTGGCATTATCTTTGTGAACATGAAAGTTACATTACACTTAAGAAATGACTTGACGCAAAATTTATACTGTCTATTATCCAGTTCGGCTTGCCACTAGCCATAAGCCAGATCTAGTGTATTGAGCATGTGTCTAAATATTCTTCTGCTCATAGCACAGGAATGGCATTAATACATGTTACTATGTTGAGTTACTCGCATTCCTTGCAAAAACCTAGATATTTTCTCCCTCTTCCCAGGAGAAAAGTTTGTTTTCCAAAAGTCTGTGGGCTACTTGGTTTCTTTGCTGATGCTAAAATTTTTTCTGTTGATCTATTTTGCTTTATAATATCATTAGTCTTCCTTAAAACTTACTGGGGATGGCCATGTAATTTCCAAGGGTAAGATTATTTTATGCTTCAACATCTGCTTGATTTCAACACTCGCAACATTGCTGGTGCTTCAAGGAATCCTATGCGGTAATTGATTTATAAGACATGAGTCACCTGTGTTTATGTAATGACTTGTTATCGTTGCACTACCCAGACTTACATCTCTCTGTTGAGTTAATATTAGGAGCACAATTTCCATCCATTGATCTCAGTTGTTCTGGAAACCACATATTCACTTTTGGCATAATACAGCTGAAATATTGCCAGCTACACAGCTGATCTACGTTAATTTTGTCCATGACTGTATTGATGACCATTCCAGCTAAAAGTTAAATAGCCAATTGTCTGTAAAACAGTACCATCATAATGCTATTGTTTGAATTATATAGATGACTCTCTGAGCTAATGCTACCTCTTGTTAACTTAATTCCATGTAACAGTTCTACCAATACAAAAGATGCATCCATAACATACTAACACAATACCACTTGCTTTTCCTGTGACACCATAATTTACTTCTTAATAAGCGGCCCACTGCATTCGAGCCAAGTGTGTTCAGTGGCACTAGGTGGTTTATCCACAGTATTGTATTTCATCAGTTGCACAAAAGAAAAATTGGCTGACATCTTATATAACTTATTCCATGGATTTGGTTAGCAACTCCACGTGAACTAGTGAATGAAAATTCCATAAGATCAGCAGCTAACATGACTTGGAATACCTTCCAAAATAATCTACTTAGTTCATCCAAATAAATAGTCAAATTCTCAGAGGAGGCCAATTTTTTCACCTTTGAATTTGACTCTATGATCGAGATTGCAACACAACTCAGGGTTGCTCTTCACACAAAGTTTGTAAGGCTTCATCTTATGTACTTTCCAGAATCAGCATCAGATATTAAACTACCCACTTCTGAGTATACCTACCCCAAAATATAATCTCCTGAGACATTTTTAGAAAGTGGCCCACATTTTCCTCTGCTGGGGTATTACAATCTGATCTAGCCATGTTCTAACCTGTAGATTAATTTCTATGTCTGCTTGAGGGAAAGAGAGTTACATCTTCAGAGAACAAGAGATTGCATAATTGTGTTTATAAAACACTTTCAACTAATACCAAGATTTAATTCATAGTCCTATAATCCTAGGTTTTCAGGCTTAAGTGATCGTTCTCGTTATTTATATTTAAGGAGAGATTAACTTCTTGCTCGTACTAACTTGTATAAAACTCTACCACCAAGACATTTGCGTATGATCCTCAACTCAGAGATGATGCAAAATTATGACTGATTTTTTGAAATAACCACTGTAGCATGTAACCTCAGCCTGAAGATCTGATTAAGGCAAGTTTATAACACTTACGTTCTGTTCATAAGGATGCTGACTAAGGGCAGAGCTCAAGCAAAATGTTTTTGTTTTTTTTATCATTTCTGAATATAAATGTTTTGAACTGCTGCTATAATGTAAAGGCATGAATCCATTGAAGATTCCTAATACTGCGTATATTCTTAGCATATTCCCAATTTGTCCATTCTGGATTTTAAGTAAGAGGTATAATAAGAAATAATATTCTAGTACTTCGTTTATCTACCCTGGATGCTTTTCGTTAAATACCACAACTTGACAGCTGATCTAGAATATGAGTCTCAAATGCTACTGTATATATGTAATACAACAATGCTAAAGTTAATATAAATAGTCAAATTGTTTCACTCACAGTGATTGTTGCCGATAATTTTATTAATGTATTTATAGTTGTTATAAACTTTCTGTGAAACGATTTTAACTTCAATAATAATTTCATAAATTAATATAATTTTCAAATAACATACAATTGTTTTCCGTTAATATGGAATGTATTATGAACAAAATATACATATTTCTAATGACAGGAGAGTTTGCGTTGCTGTGGAAAAAGAACGCTGGAGGGACGAAAGAAGTTCTATTAGTCGAGAAACAGCGTATTACACATGACAGTCGAATATCAGTGCTGGATGATTATTCTTTTCAAATCCTGGATGTTTCAAGACACGACTCTGGAGAATACTTGTGTGTTATCAGCAGTAACCCACCAGTGGAACTTGTTCATACGTTAAATGTCAAATGTAAGTCATTTTATTAACAATGAAACATTTACTAACTTATTTGTTGTGTTATTACTCAGATTTAGTTTTCGGTAATTTTCTTTGCAAACTAGATATAAAAAATAAGTTAAAGAGTTCTTTCTCTTCACAGTTTTTATTGTTATAGTAATTCTTGTTTTTCAATAAGAACCTTGCTTTATATTCACATATGTATTTGCAAGTCTGTCAGGCTTTACCTTTTCTCCAGTTTAAAAGTTACATGAACAAACGCCGACATATCCAAGGCATATGCCCCCCAGTGTCACAGCGGATTTATACTGCTAGGAACCTGGTTTTGATACCCGTAGTGGGCAGAGCACAGGTAGCTCTTTGAGTAACTTTGTGCTTAATAACAACCAAGGTATATTACATATACTATCACCATTAGTAACTTTACTATTATTAATGTTGACAGAAACAGTTATTTTATAGCTAAGTAGCACAGCTATCACTCGTTTCAACATAACAATGTGATAATAAGCAATGTATCAATATATATGTGAATTATTTAATGCTGATACTAAGGTTCTCATTGCAGATCCACCGTCTATAGCAGTTGAGCCTTCCAGTGGTTTAGTAATTGTTCCAAAGGGCCATACAAAGGTCATCAAATGTCACATAGATGGAAATCCCTCACCAAATATCACTTGGCAAAGCGAGGTAAGGTATATCAGGCGTGATTAGTTTATCCCATCTAAAGTAGCCAAAAACGCCTATTTAATAATACAACGTCACAACACACACACGTTTGCACACGGAAAGATTCTTGTTAAATTCCCATTACTAAGTTACGGACTATTTTTTAATCGTGTAAAATACTTGGCGTATAACTGGCACACATTTCTCTGGCATATTTTATTTAAACACAAATTTCTTTTTCGAAATAACTTAGTAAAATCAGTGTGAAACATTAAATAACCATCATGTATTTTATGTACTAAAACTATTAAATTCGTAATACCCCTTTCAAACGTTTATATACCATTTTATACTGTGAAAAAAAAATGAAATCTTCGTAAACTTTTAGAAGAAGAACATTGTAAAAAGAAACAAGAATATCTATTATGACATGCAGAGGAAAGTTAATAAGGGTACATCTTACCGTATTACCACAATAAGTAGTAACTAGAAACCTTATAAATGTTGATGTTTCTTGTTCAGTAACATTATAAGAACAATAAATCAATTTTATCCCTAAAATAAATATAAAAGGTACGTCAGCAACCATCTAGAGCACAGATACATTAAACCAAGTATAAGTTATATATGTTTAGAATGTGAAAGAAAAATTTGTGTATTATGTATACATTTATATTTCTTTCTTAAACTCAAACTTTGTGCTAGTGGGTCAAGGAAATATTGGTTGTCTTCCACAGAGCCATTTTCCATGGAGACTATTGAAGCTGACACTAACCTCACTGTTCTGTGCAGAAACTTAAGCACAATTAGATGGCTTGGTGTAGAAGATATGTTTAGTCGTGGCACATAATGGTCAGCTGATGACATTGTGACCCACGATCGACCCAATATTGGTATTTTAGTATTGTCTCTGTGTAGTTGGAATTGTGTCCACAAACGGGAAACAACACTTCTGTTTACATTTAGCCACATTAATCTGTGACAGTCCAGCCTTAAGTCCATCAATCACTTAATACCTTATGGAATCGTCTATACCATGGAGTTCCATACCTTGTCAGCCCAAGTTCCCCCGGAACATTCCACATCCTAATTGAAGCTCCCACCAAATGAATCTATAGATACTGAGTACCTTAACAGTAATGTGTATTTTGTGAATTTGCTATAGTCCCCCTGACACTTTCCTACAGACATCCGTGAGCCCACAGACCCAAGTTTGGGAACTTCTGGTGTAGACGAAGATAGATACCCATTTTGTGCAAGGAGACCTTTACACAGTTGTTTTACTAGAGTCAAAACTGAAATGAAAGAGACAGTGTTCAAGTGTCTTTACACAGATGCTTAGATACATGTTTTGACAGGACCTACTTTTCATGTTTTTATTAAACTTTTTAACATATCTAAATGTATTTGTGGCCACAATTTGATGATTCAATCTTTCAACATTTTGGATCTATATTTATTCTTATGCTGGTTGCTTATCTTTTGGAAACCACCATGCATTACGTTTTGTTAGTGCATAAAATTTCTTAAGTCTTTCACTGAATTACGCAATCACTTAGTCGTAACAAAACAATAATTTAGTTTACATGTTCTACGCTATGTTTAGAAAGACAGAAGATGTAACATCAATAGATGTAACATCGGTATGAATTTTAAAATTGTGGACCTTTATACTGAAGCATAAACAAATTGTAAATTAAAATTGTGTGTTAAAATATCATCACAATATGTCATGCATTTACTTTAAGAAACAAAATATCTACAGTTGTTCTGTAGCTTGTATATTCTACTTCTGTATTTTATCAATATTTCTATTTTTATTATTCAGCGAGATTATTCTCATTTAGGTTAAAGTAGCTGTCTGGTGAAGTTTTTGATAATGATTTGAAGGTTTTGGTGTCAGAATTGGCATTAGCATTATACATGTTGATGATCTCAAAGATGTTCTCTAATTTTCAGTACTGTCCTTGTGTGGATCAGTCCATTGTTTGTTTACTTTTGAGCAAATCCATAGTGGGTTATCTGCTGTTTCTACCGCGAGGAATCAAACTCTGGATTTTAGCATTGTAAGTCCATAGACTTACCACTGTCCCACCGGGTACGTGTCGGTCAAGAGTTTAATATTGTTAATACTGAAACCTTGCATAAGTAGTACATGCTTTGTAGAAGGTAGTATTATTTCTTTGCAACAATACAGTGTTTACTAGTGAGAAAACAAGAACCATAGAATATGTTCATTTAATTTATTTTTATTTTTCATGAGTATTTATAAGTGCTAATTTTTAACATATGGATCCCACATCCAATGCATAGAAAAAAGGCCACACAACATAACACTCTCTCTACAATTTGTCATTGTTCGCATAGCACAATCACAATAAAAACTCATAATTTGCCTGCATCCATGCACATACAGATGTTGAGTAAGTTACATTAAAATAATTTGGGAGCATTACAACTCCTGTCACCCCATACGGTCATACACTCACTGATGACCGTGCATCTCAGCAATAGCCTTGCACTATGGTTTCCGTTATAAAAGGCTGGCATGTTTTAAGAACACCCATTGCACCCCCTAACTGTAATGTACGAGGACGGCAGTTCCTCAGCGCTAATTTCAACAATCTGATCACACAGAAATCTATTTACAGGTGCTGCGTTCAACAACCTGAACAGTATGTCTTAATATGGGATAGTATGAATACCCATTTCATTGTCCAACTGGATGAGGTGTGCAACAGTTGAAGTGATGGAAGCAACTTGTGAACACATGACTTGTGTAACTTTTTCACATGGAGATCCTTCAGTAAATTCCTTTTGCCACTGACGTTTGTGTTCATGTATTCTCTCCTGTTATAAGACATGGCTTGCTTTGTAGTCCACGTGCCCCACGTTTATCCATATTCCTTTGTTTTTCAATACCATTAAGTACAAGTCTTGTAATTTCTAGTCCCTGATCTGAAAATTCTTAATGATTTGAGTGCATGAGTATTTTTCATTGGAAAAGGTTGCTACATATTCTTCCCAAAATGATAAATTTTTGGTGGCATCAAACTATTTACAAAACGCCAGATAATTAAAAAACGTGGTTCTAATGAATGTCGTTGTACCACAACTTTATATCAGTTATGGTTGTCAAGTGACTTGTTGGCTTACATCTTCGAAATCATTATATTGCTGCATATTCTTCCCAAAATGATAAATTTTTGGTGGCATCAAACTATTTACAAAACGCCAGATAATTAAAAAAACGTGGTTCTAATGAATGTTGTTGTACCACAACTTTATATCAGTTATGGTTGTCAAGTGACTTGTTGGCTTACATCTTCGAAATCATTATATTATAACTTAAACATACTTAACCACGTATTACCCATCACTTTGAAACTAGTCTTGCACCTTTCATCACTCTCCAAAATTCACAACTGATTCTTAATATTCCAATATTGATGGTAAATTGGTGCCAAATATCTATTCATATAATATATGAGTTGCATGTCATAGCCGTATAAAAATTATATAAATTTTGTACGGAGGTTCATCGGGTTCACGGGAGATACATACAAATTATCAGTTTTGCGTTTTGAGGTTTTTATGGTTATTTTTGCGTTTTTTACAACTACTTCTCCCCCTGTAGATGGATCTTCACCTAATTGGGCATGAAGGTTTGTTGGGTCCATGTGGAGATACACTCAAATTTGTGTTTTGCAGTTTTTATGGGCGTTTTTTACAATTACATATAAGGGAAGCAACTTTTCATCTTCTAAGATAACCTTTAATTAATCATGAATTTACATAATTTTCGTCCAGGAGACGGTAACTCTAGCTAGTTTTTAATAATGTTCTATTCATTAGATGACTTCCGATGCACAACTTAACGAAACTCGCAAAACCTGGAATGTTTACCTATAAATTCCTCTAATGTAACTTTGCAAGTAATAGGCCAGTTTACTTTCTCTCGATTTTCCAGCCAACAATCATTTAAAATCCTTACTGAATAAATAATGCTAAGTTTTATTAATTCATCATCCGTGGTGGCACAGCAGTATGTCTGCGGACTGACAATGTTAGAAACCGGATTTAGATAACAGTGGTGGGCAGAGCACAGATAGCCCAGTGTGTAGCTTTGTGCTTAACTTCAAACAAACAAACAAATCATCTATTCATGGTTCAATGTTTTCTAATAATTAATTCCATTATCAAATATAACCATTTCAAGATATATATCCCAAAGAGTCATTTATAGAGATTATGGAAACATAGGAACATTAGTTAATATTTCCCTGCCAATGCTGAGAATATTTCAGAACTAGAGTCATGTGATAGACAGGATTCGGCTACATATATAATAAGAAACTGCGCTGTCTACTTTAAAATGACTCGAAAACTTGATTAGTGGCTAAAAGGTGTTAGTTATACATCGAGATTGTTAAAAGGTGTTAGAGCCAAAAGGCATAGTTTCTTTAGTGTTCTCTGTGTAAGTAGAAATACTTGTAGAGCAGATCAACAGGCATTACAAATACAGCATAAGTCAATCAGAACCAGTACCAACATCTGAAATGGAAAGACTATGGTTACAAGAATAATTATTCTCCAACCTGGAATAATCATTGCAATGAATCTGGGTATATCCTGTTATTGTGCACAAAAAACAAAGAAGGGCTTATATTCACAAAAGCCCAGAAGCTTCCATTTATCTGTCGAAAAAAGTTGTTTTCAATGAAAATTTTATATAGAAACTAGAATCACAGGAATTCCAATCAACCCCGTAGTACAGGGAGCTAATTACGCTTGATAAGAACAGTGTTCAAGTTTTTTGTTACCTTTGGTAAACTATTTTTCCATTATTGATCAGTTGATGGCCACGACTATATACTATTTTACTTGACAATGTAAGTTACATAATGACATACTTTTACAAAGGATGGCAAGGTCAATCGTACACTATGGAATTGAAAAAGCTTTGCAAAGATTCTCTGCTGTAAAGGTGCTTCTTTTAAGACCATTTGAAGAAAAGAAAA